CCCTCCCCCCTCTTTTACTCGCTCCATTTTTCGCGCTGTAATTCTTTACTCCCGAACCCCACAGAAACGCTTGCTACGCAGGCTAGGTAGTGTTACTACAGCGTAGTTGTCTAGTGACAATTGCTCATTGTAAAGACAAATAGGACGCCAGGAAGGATCATAAAGTGCTTTAAATGTTAATGGAAGTGTTGTTCCCACTTTAAATTTCTTGCATAATGACACCAAGAAGCTTTGTATGGGTGATTCTTTCAAGATAGTAATTAGAAATTTTGGCAAGCCTAAATTCTTCTCTTTGAGGTTATGGGCCCGGGCCATTTGAGGGTGGTTGACGGCAGCACTGATTTAGTTTTTACGCGGTTAAGAGCAAGAATCAAGACTATGTACTTAAATCGTGAAGGGTCGAGTTCAGGTCAAAAGTTCTTACTGATAGTTCTTTTACCGAGCAGTGTTTTTAAACAGTGGTGTCGTCAGCATATTGATAGCATACGGTGGAATCACCGAGGTTGTCGTTGAAGTCGGAGACGTAGGTATCAAAGAGCAGAGGGCCTAAAATAGAGCCTTGCGGCACACCAAAATAAGGTTGGACAAGTGCTGAGTTCCTGTAATCAATTTGAACGTATTGGTTACCGTTAGATAAATAGCTTGTCATCCAGTGAAGAAAATGGCCCACGTTTCAGCTGACATGTCATTTGTGAACACAGAAAGCAGGGAAAACACAAAGTCTAAAAACTGAAGAAAGAAGCGTTTTTAGTAGTTTAGAGCAACTCTAGCTTCTCGAGTCCTCTCCAAACTAAATACTTCCACAATATGATAAACTTGCTCATGCATATGGCGTAAGCATTGACCGTTTCGTTATAATTCAGCTAGTGGGAAAAACATCAAACAAACTACATTCTCTGAATGGAAACTTCATAGGGGATTGAAAAGTTTCATTATAGAATGCCGAGCTTTAAATTATAGTCGGTTGATTTCTTAAATCAAAAGTATAGTGGCAGGTTTTTCAAAAGGTTTTGTGGTTTTGTGACCCTTGTTTACTTTGTTTCCATTCCTTTTATTTTGAAGCGTGTTCATAACAAGAGGTGCCACTACAAAGGATCACCACGGCTTAGCTGGAACGAGTACTGGTTTGACCCTGCAGACGCCATTAGACAATCAAGCGAGATTTGGTCAAACAGCAGCACGGGGACAAACTCATCTAACAGCGACAAGCCGCCGGGATATGAAAGAAGCAGGGGAAAGAGAAATGAAAAGAAGGCATTTATTAACGACAAGCAAGCTTACAGCACAGAAAGAGAATATAACATGGTGCACCGTATCAAAGCCCCGAGCAGTAGTAAGGAAGCAGTGTGCAGACAACAAAAATGGCACAAAAGATTTGAGGCGATGAATGGTGTTCGTTGCTTGTCAAAGGAGCATCATTCTCTCCCCACAGGAAGCCGCAGAATGTCACCAGCAAAACATAAAAATGTAGTATCTTATGATTCTGGGTTTCCCGAAGATGAGAGAACAAACGCTATTCGGAGGATGAGAAAGCCCATGTCGGTGCCTGATAGCAGAGCGAATCACCACAATCGGCTGTCACATACGAGTTACCACTCACAATTTGACGACGGCTACGTTCTTAGAAATCTGCCACAGTACAGGCCTGACAGAGCCCCTTTAAATGTATTTCATGAAGATACCTCGTCCGACAGTGAAGTGTTTCAAAAGAAGAACAATCGCAATGTATACGAAGATTCATCTTGTGATAATTTGGCAGTTCACTCGTATATCCGGCGGCCAAGGAAGAAAACAAATCGAAGCAAACTACCCAAATGCTCAATTCAGAAAGATGCTCCCTACAGCCGACACCCATCGGGAGGCCATAGCTCAAAATTGGCCTATCAAGCCATCGCCTCTTACCGGGCTTCAGCGGACGACAAAATTGATCTGTACGAGGGGGACAAAGTTCAAGTCATTCGGAAAAGTAAAGGAGGATGGTGGTTCGTGAAAATTGACGACGAAGAAGGATGGGCGCCTTCTAACTATCTTGAGCCAATCACGTGCTTTGATGGATGAACTTGTAGCGCAGTTTATAAGCTATAGAAGAGCGAGTATTGCCATCAGCCTGCACATATATACTGATTCAAAGTTTTCATTTTGCACTATTTATGATAGCCAAATCAGCTATTTGTGTATTAATATTTACATTTTATCTTCACGATTTTACATTCGTTATGGAATATTTATCGTTCAAATTCATGAAGCTCCCTTTAGTATTCTTGGTTACGGTGTCATTATATGTGCTTTGTGATAAACAATTAAGCTGCATCACCCAAGGAAAACACCTCTTTTGATTCACCCACTCCTCTCGAGAAGCAATATTGAACCTGTGGGGGAGGGGTGGGAGAGTAAGACCCAAGTTTAACTTAATTTTCGTTTTAACAAAAGAGAGTTAATAATTAACTTGAACATCCTGGTTTTACGTTTGCCAAAGCGTCTTGTCATATTCAACGTGGAGGTAAAACGATTTCCTCGCCGAGAGAGTAGTTTAAATTTTATTGACAACGTCAGCCTGCATAGTACTGGGCAGGAATTTTCTTAATTGGTCACGCGTCCATTACCTCACGGATATAAATTATGCGAGTCGCGGACGGCTTTTTTACCCTGAAGATGACGTTATGTCGTAAACGTTTGGTTTTTTCTCTTTTAGCCATTTTAAAAACATTTTAGCCTTGTTAAATATTTTTTCATTTGCATTAGTGTTCAAGTACAATTCTACTAATAGATAATATGACAGACCTAAGATATTTCATGAACTGTAAGTAGGTGTCCTGAGAACAACGGACATTCGCGTTGAATATTCCTCCTCTGCTGTAGAATCTTAAAAATCTAGCAAAGCACTTGTGAGCTACGACCTCCTTTCCTATATTTGGCATTTGATTTGAAAGGATTCTCTTATCAGTCTGCTTTAGTTCTTATTATAAAGGAGGGCGACACGCAAACATAATTAGAATTGCGTGACGCAAAAGGACTACCGCCGACGCAAAAGCTTTTGGAATGTGCGTGTCGATCAGTCGCAAACAACAATGTCCATTTCTCGCGACATAGCTCAAGGCTAAAATCGCGGTTTGGCATGATAAAAACCTAAAACGAACGAATAGTGGCTGGTTTTATGCGTCAATTTAGTGCGGAACATGAAACTGGTATTATAATGCAATCAAATCGCAATCAAAGGTGCATACAGCCATTTTCTCATACATCCCATGGGCACTACACTTGCTATTTAAACTTGATAAGTCCAGCCAGTGTTTTCATAGTTTTTACTGGTTGCAAAAATGAACTGGATATTTCACTAATGTATCAAAGACAAATAAATGTATGTGTAAGTGTTGTTTCATTACAATCAAAGACGGGCATTACATTGCAATTATTCTTTGATAAAAATGCTAACTCGCGATTCATCTTTCACTTTCACAAATCTTAAGCTTTTGTGCAGAATGGAACTCAGTAAAGGTAATTATTATTCTATTATCATTCTTAATGAAAGTATGCGTGAGTGACTTGCTTGGCTCTTAGTCGATATGATTGATAACACTTTTCATGAAAAGACTGAGCACATTCAGAGCAGAAAAAGTTAGATTCACACTTACATGTAACGCATATTATCGCACATTTAGTTCCAATATGTTTTCCAAAGATATCTCTATCTACTTTGTTGGCGTAAATCACGGTTTGTTTGCGTGCGTGCGGATATTGTATTTGTGGGCTTGTACCCTAAGGGTAGTGAATCTCATTTTATGTACGTACACCAGAGAGAGAAGAGTGTGCGTTATTGAATCTTACTTGTCATCTTGTTCCATTTTCAGAAAAGGTACACATTAACGCCATCCCCATTTTTTATTTTGGCTGTAAGCAGTGCTCATTTACTTTGTTATATATGCTGTTTGCACACTTTCAGGACATTTTCACCATTCCATAGCACGTCACAACATATATTGTCTTTTTGTCGGAATTTTATTATCATCTTGGCTAACCAAGCATTAAGCAACGAGTGGACTTCCTTTGATAAAAATAACAATACCCGTCAAGCCAGTGCTACAAATGCTAATAGGCTTTCCGCGTTGTTCTGTAGGATATTGTGTAGGGATTTGGTGGTTGTTACAATATTTGGAAGAGTGTCGTTTTTAAGCGCTTGTTCCGTAAAACTTGCTGGATGATCAAAGTGCCTTGGCCATGGAGAATCGAACTGTGAAAGAGGCATCTGTTGAGGGTGTCCAGCGACGGACCCACCCCAAGAAACATTTTGTAAGTCTCACATCGACGCAATGCGTAGATGATTATTTCTTGCTAGAGAAATGACTTGTTTTTACTTAACAAGTAATTTAAAAAATAGATAAGTAAAGAGCCTTTCTTTTTCTTGTCGAATGTCAACCGTTTGGATGGGAAACAAGACGGGAACTACTACTATTCGCGTACAGATTATTTCTGGGTTCGGTTGCTTCACAAAGATCCGTAGTAGCAGTTGTTACGATCTCTGCTATGCATGGTATTTGCTTTTTCAACATGGACACAAGTAATACACGAAAAATTCACATATGCAAATAATGTATTACTGTTCCTTAACAAAAGATAATGGGATAGCTAAACGAACAAAATGGACCCCTAACTGTAATTTCTTTAGTTAAAAATTCTTGCGATGGTCGGTCGCTTAAGGCTAGTGAACGCTAACGCACGTAGAATTGCGTGGTAGCTTCTAATGTTAATTTCTGGTCTTGCTTAGTCGAATTATTCAGGGAAAATTATGTATGTCTTTCAATTACAGAAACTTCTATCAGAATGTCCGTCAATTTTGGATTTTAACAGGCTTTTATAGCGATAAAAAACAATATTTTAAACATATGAAGGCTCTCACTTGTAAGAGGTAAATATGTAAACATACGTGTGGTATGAAATCGTGTTTCCGGATTTAAAGTATACATACTTCAGCGAATCTATCGGTATTACTAGCACTAGAATAACACTACCCACCGAATTCCATAACTCTAAAAAGCAAAGTCAAAGAACTTGCTAGGTTTAGGAGCTTCTGGGAAAAATGTCAAATAAAAAATAATAATAAAAAAAACATTTCTTGAAACTCGATTTATTTATCTATCCTAAAACCCCTATTTACTGTATTTGTGTCAACGGGGTTAAGTTGTAGTAAGATTTCTTGCAGTTATGATTCTTTAGATTTTGTAATTTATTTAATGGCTGTTTTATTTAAGCCGTTTGCCTTTCATTTTGTGCAGATGTTTTGCATCAAGGTTTCATGGTCCGATGGTACTGTGAATCTAGTTTACAGGAGATACAGCGAGTTTCTACATCTACAGGTATGTAGACAAAATCATTGTGATATTCCTGAATTACATCCCATGATAACAAGGAAACTAAAATTTAAAATGATTGTCAAATGATTGTCAATCAATTATGGCGACGCACGAAGGAAAATAACACTGATGTCAAATCTGTAAGACAAGGAATGTTTTTATCACACTGGATATCCTTAATGGTAGACTTGGTAGCCCTATTCATTTCCGCGCAAAATGTTGCAAAAAGTGCTTATGTATCGTTTTTGACAGAGAAGTTCCGGGAAAAACCCCTTCATCAATCGCAAATGATAGGCGAAAGTGTCTTATGGTGTAGGTGCGCGTGAAAATGCTACACGTGCGCGTGCGGTTTTTCATTGAAACAGTCTCTTTCGTTTATTTTGGACAGAAAACGTCGTTAAGAAACCTCTGCTTTTAAGTTCTCATTAACCATAGTTTTGTGTATAAGAAGTTTTGAATTTATGTTCCTTTTTATCGCGAAG